AATAAGAAAAATAATGAGTTAACATTTTTATTAAACATGTCTCTTTCCAATGAAAAACTCTGACATACTAATTCATAAATTGACAAACCATACAGTGGCCAAAACACAAAGTATAATTAGTAAGCAGACTAATTATATGGGGAAGTGTTCATACCTCACTCCTTATCAAAAAGATGTAGCATATTTTATTAAAACAAAGAAAACAAATTCTCAAAAAGAAAAATAATCACTACAGTTATAAATATGGTAACTTAAAGTATTAAATTAAGAAAATAAAAAACTTGAAATGATAATACCTAGTCTTCCAAGGATCCTAATGGCAGTCTTGAACATTGCTGGCATGAGTAAAATTGGCACAGTGTGAAAATGGCATGAGGGCTGTGTCTGACCTCCTCTCTCTTCACAAGGGGGAAGGAAAAACCAAGATCAACAGCCCAAGGCTGATTCCTGTGAGGCAGCCGTCAGACATGCCTTCTCTCTCCATCATCTTTACTGATTCTGACACCAACCGTCCCTGCCATGGCACTCTCTACCTCTCTGCTGTGTTCCATAATTCATTGCAATGGCCACACACAACTCCCAGAGCCTACTCATGATTACAGCGTTTATTAGGGAAGTAACAGGTTACAGTTCAGGCTCAGGAACATTCAAGGATACAGTTCTTCCATCAGGACAGCCTCTTTCCAGCCGTGCTGGCAGGCACGCCTCTCCCTGGCCCTCAGTCTCTGCCCAAACACATTCAGCTTTCTCACTCCTTGGGCCAAGGAGCCTGCTGCGCTATCTCCTGCGGGTCTCTCTCCTGCTGGTCTCTCCTTCCTTGGTGGTGGTGGGCTCGTCTCTTTCCCTCCTCTGGGGTGGCTCATTTCAAACCTAGCGGGATAGCAAAACTGACCAATCGTTTTGGTGGGCCACAATTACCCTGTCACACAGTCCCGCCAAGTCACCTGGGTGGGAGTTACAAGAGCATGGCTAGAAAGGCCACAAAAAAGTAATCAGTCACACCACATACAGCCATTTTGAAAAGCATTTTGGTAGTCTTTATAAAGAAGCATGGAGTCCCTAGTGGTGCAAACAGTTAAAGCACTCCGCTGCTAACCAAAAGGTTGGAGGTTCAAGTCCACCCAGAGATGCCTCAGAAGAAAGGCTGGCAATCTACTTTAAAAAAATCAGCCATTGAAAACTCTATGGAGAGCAGTTCTACTCTGCCATACATGGGGTTGCCATGAGTTGGAATCAACTCGAAAGCAGCTAGTTTTTTATAAAGAGTCACAAAACAGTTTTGATCCTTTGACCCAATAATTTTACTTCAGTGTCTGCCGGAGACACTATAAAAATAGAAAATACATGAAATACAGCATAATTTATAAGGGAAAACCTCAATATCCTGCACCAGGACACAATAAATTGTGGTAAGCATACTAGTTCAAATATTATGCAAATATTTAATGATTGTTCCAAAGCTGAATAATGTTAAAAGTGTTTTTTATATAATGTTGTATTTAAGATTATATATGCAGTATCTGTATGAAGGAGCCCTGGTGGTGCAGTGGTTAAGAACTTGGCTGCTAACCAAAAGGTTGGCAGTTCAAATCCACTAGCCACTCCTTGGAAACCCTATGGAGCAGTTCTATTCTGTCCTGTATAGTTGCTATGAGTCGGAAGTTTGGATCTCTATGAATGGCGTCTTCCATGCACTTGTGTAAATCAGAAAGGTAAGGGTTTTCCTTGACATGTCTCTGTCCCTAATCCTCCAAAGTCACTTTATCACTTGGTGGATAGTTGGGGGTCAGTTTTATCCTCTAAGTAGCTCTGAACTCCTACTTTTCTCCAGCTTCACCACCACCATCCTGGTCCAAGCAAACACCTCTCTCTCCTTTCCCCCACTGGAATCTACTGTCCACCTGCAGCTCCAATGCAAATCCAATATGTTATGGCCCTGCTAAATCATCAACATTTCTTATTGCTCCAAGACTAAAGGCGAAACTGCTTAACCCGACCCCAAGTCCTGCATAGTCTGGCAGCTGCCTCTCCTCCCCTTGGATTAGCCTTCCTCTCCATCTTCACACTCCAGCCAGAAGGGCCTCATTTCAGTTCCTTGCTCCTTCTCGTGGGATCTTTGTTGCTCTACAGTGGCTATTCCTCTGTCTAGAAAACTCTCCCAGACCCCCCTGCCCACTGTCCCCTTGCTTCATCCTTCAGCCTTCCACCCATATGTCATCTACTCAGGGAAATCGTCACTGCTGTCCAGACCAGGTCCCCTTGTTATATGCTCTTATAGTACCTGATGCTTTTTTACTGGTTGTCGCACCTCAGCAGAATGTAAATGCCGCAAGGGCAGGTACTTATCTTGTTCACTGCTCTATACCCGGAGTTCAAATATGTGTTAAATGATTAAGTCATACTCACTATACATCTGTATCATTACTGGCTTCATGTCTGTCTCTCCCATTAGACTGTAAGCCCCTCAAGGGCAGGAACCATATCTGTTCTGCTCACCATTGTATTCCAGGGCCTGACACAAATGTTTCTTGAATAAATTTTATCACAATCGTGTAAGAAATGCAGAGGAAAAATTATACCAAAAGGGCAATAGTGATTGTGTTAGGACTGTGAAAAATAGGTTTTTTTCTGTATCTCAAAACAATTATAATTGAAAAATGGTAATATAAATAAAAATTCACAATTAAAAAGAAAAATAGCTCTACTTGTTCAATAAATATAACAAATGATACACATAATTAGGCTACTCTAAGAGATCGGGTGTTTTCGTTTTTTCCCTAGAGTGTCCAAAGAGTGCATTGTTTGTACATAGCTCTAATCTTAGATAAATTGTTGTATTTAGCTTTTCCTGCCTTGTGTTTGTCATATGCATTTTCCCAAGATTCTACGTTGCCTGCATAATTATTTTCAGCAACTGCATAATATTCAGTTAAATCAATATATTTTGCGGAAGGATTATTTTCAAAAAATTTATTTACTGAAATAGAATTCAAAGTCTATGAGGATTCGCGGGTAATACAAATTTCTGACTATTTTGCCAGAAATTGGAAAAGAAACTGGCAATGACAGATATGTGTGCAAGCGTGGAATGAGCACTTGAGGTGGGATTAAGTGAACTGTGATTATTTTAAGACAGTCAGTATTACATTGAGCCTCTAGTCCAAACCCATTGCTGTCGAGTTGATTCCAACTCGTAGTAATACTGTAGGACAAAGTAGAACTGCCCCATAGAGTTTCCAACGCTGTAATCTCTTCAGAAGCAGATTGCCACATCTTTCTCCCATGGAGCAGCTGGTGGGTTCGAACCATGGACCTTTTGGTTAGCAGCCGAGAGCTTAACCGCTGCACCACTAGGGCTCTTTTGAGCCTCTAGAAAAGAAATAAGTAAAAGTTATGTTGATTTAGAGAGTTCCTATGCTTGACTGCCCTCTGAAATGAAATAGATGTGTTCAGAAGTGGGTGGGGTGGAAGCGGTTGGGGAACCAACAATTTGGGAGGGCTCAGAGGAAATGGAGATCAGGTGCAAATGGGGGCTGTTATTAAGTCAGGTGTTAATAAGTTGGAGGCAGCCAGTATTGGTTAGAAGCAGATACCTGTGGCCCTTTAGTCTGTTAACAAAGGAAGTAGCAAAGGAGACAGGAGTGGCCAGGTGTCAGAAGGGTGGCGGTGGCAAAATGGGAGGCACTAATGCAAATTCTGTAGGTACAACAGAATGATTGCTGCCTAATGCTTTTCAAAACGCAAGTCTGGGCAGGACGGTCTCTGGCTTCCTTCTCAATTATTTTATGAAATGGCAGTATCATAGCCCCAAGCAGGAGCCAGAGTCGCATCCATCTCAGCTCATTGCCTGTAACCCCAAATTTACCACTTTGCAGATTTCTTGCTGACCACCTTCCTAGTAATACAAAGTCCCTAACACTTGTCCTTCACAGCAGACCCTGAGTAAAGGGCAACATCTGCTAGGTCACGTGAAATACTTCCCCAAACAGCGGAATTTCCCAAGCTTGGAACTGGACAATAAGCCTAACGTTTTTGCCAATGCTCTGCAAAACTGACTACTGTGTAAGACTTGTCATCATGTTCTGCAAAGTCCCCTTTCTGATCTTTTTCCCTCAGCCCAGGGAGACATCACCCTCTGGATTGAGCAGCTCTCATTTCCGAACAGTCCTAGGGTCCTCTAGAAATAAAGTGAAATGATCTACTGTAAAAAAAGAAACAAAACCAAATCACAACGGGTGATTTAAGGACTTAAAGCAGCATTTTCATTTGAAAGAGAACTAAGCAGGAAAGAGCAAGGGAGAAGAAAAGAGATAATGATAGAATTTCAGGCCTGATATTCTGAAGGTGTGGGGCAGGCACAGTGGTGCCCTGGACGGCCCTCCTGAACCAGCTCAAATCACACTGTCGCTTACTACCTGAGCATTAGCCTTGTGCTCATTCATGGGCGTTTGTGTTTTCAGGAAGAAGCCCATTACCAAAGACCAATACATTCAACAATTTTCTGCATGTTAGCTTTTACCTTTGACCACTGGATGGGCCAGTAAGAGCCTTATGTGTCATATTAACTGCCTACATGGGGCCTGATACATAGACGTTGCTCAATAAACATTTAATTGATTAATGAATTAATTAATGAACGTGTAGTCAAAACTAGAATATTCTAATTTCTACACATCACTAAAGCATCTGCCATTCAATTGGATTATTAGGTCAGGTTTTAGCATGTTGCTCAGCCCAGGTTGTCCTCACTTACTTATTTTAAGTACTGGCAAAAACATTTAGATCTTCAATGTATTTAGAAAAATACAGCTAACATTTATACCCAGTGGCGAAAGGAAATTTTCACTAGAGCCAATTTTTTTTTTCCCCTAGACTTAAAATTTGTATTGTCCCAACACCAGGTAAAATGTAGCCCATCACATGTATTTGCAGTAGATGTGAATCTGGGCCCAAAATTCCAAGAATTTAAAGAGTAAATTGATATTTCTGCTTTATTTCAGCAAACTCCAGAAGACAAAGAGAGATAGCAGATGGCTTCAAGGAGTGACTGGTGAATGGTTTGAAGAAATTCAAAGAAAAAAGTTTTGCAATGAAGCAAATGTTAGCCAAATGTTAAAACAACCACTTAGGTACAGGCTGAGCAGGGGGATGGCAAAAACTGGTGAGAAAAAGTTAGATTTTACTGTAATAATGTCTTGGAGCATGTTTTTAGAATCAGGCAAGATAGTATAGTGGTTTGGAACATAGACATTGATGTCAGAAAAGGCCTGGATTCAAATCCGTGTGACTCTGTTCAAGTTACTTTTTCTCTGTAAGTCTCAATTTTCTCATCTTTAAATGGATATAATAATACCTACCTCATAGGTTGTGAGAATTACATAAAATTATATGTATAAAACACTAAGCTAAACACAGTAAACAAATAAATGGGATGATGATGAAGAAGGAGGCGGATGGGAGGGAGAGAGCACGAGGAAAGGGAGGGGAGAAGGGAAAGAAAGAGTAGGGGGAGGTAGAGGAGTATCCTGCCCTTCTGGTATTTTGACAACAAAAACACTATACATGAGTTCTAATAAATGCCTTCTTTGGACCTTCTGACTGTGTGACTACCAGCATGTCACTTAACTTCAACAATCACTTTTTTCCTCCACCTCAAAATTACAATAATAAAAAGTGCTTTCACAGAACTATTATGAGAATAATGAAATGAATTAGAAATTCTAAAATACTGTAACAGTCTAAAGTGTCTTTTTACTGATACAGAGGCACATTGACTGATTCTGTACATATATCACTAACATTAGTAACATCGTGAAACACGTAACAATATTTCTAAATTTATAAATTGACAATATTTTGCAACTCCCATAATAAACAAATCTATCTGAAAACACTCGTAGTTTTAGATTAACCCCATAAATGCCATGGGGACTTTCCCCATACCTTGAATTCCTCTAATATTTATACACTCAGCATGTCCAAAAGTATTATGGAATTTGTATATGTCAATTTTGCCTTAGGATTTTTTAATACTCATATAAAACTATATATATATATATATATATATATATATGTGATATGGGGGAAACCCTGCTGGCATAGTGGTTAAGAGTTTGG